AAGAAAAAAAAAAAAAAAAAAAAAAAAAAGAGCCCAGGTGCGCCAGCGCTTAGGAAGGGGAAATCTTTTTACTTTCAGTGCTAATTACACCAATTAGTGGCCGAGCCTCGTTTTCCATGGGAGGGCAGGGGAAATGCATCTTCTGTTCATTAGCGTCACTTACTAAGGGGTCCTTACCATTTCCCGCAGTTATCTTAATTAAAAATGTGACATGATTTCTCACCTACAGAGCCTTCATTTATTACAGAGGTGTGAGCTCATAGCTAATCCTGACTACACGGCTTTCCTGTTCCACTGGACAGATTGCTAAAGACTTCCTCTCAGTTGTGGGCAGAGAAGCAAGTGGCAGAGGACATCTACGCCACAGAGCTCACTTGCCTGGTCCTCTCCATCCTACTTACCAGTCTCAGAACATTTTTCAGTGAGTAAGACCCATTGGCCAATTCCTTCGAAAACCATCAATGCTATAGCCAGGGCCACAAGCAAAAAGATAAACTGGACATAGCTTATCTGTGCCTACTCCTTTCCGCAGTCCCTTGTCTACCTACCCTCAAGGTTGGGTTCCCCAAGGGCTCGCAGCCATCAAGGATTTATCATTAACTGCCCTCTGCCACTTCTCCACGGAAAGTTACTTGTTGGGCACCTCATTCCTGCCATGGTAGGTCCATGTGCCTTTCTAGGCGACTGTCAGTGAATGAATAAACTAGAGTTCTAGATCTGGAACCAGCCTCAGAGAGGGCAAGTCTGATGTTTCCCACAGTGGGTTCCACGAACGCTGCTTCCACTGCATGTCTGTGTAAGAAACAGGGTTCCTTACGCAAAAGGTTAGAAAATAAAGTTTCAAGGGGTTCTTCATCACAGGACTTCTCTAAGCCTTTCTTGTGCGGATGAGCAGTGGGGGTCACCAGAGCAGGATTCCCAAAGCTATTTGGGAATCCGAAGTTAATTAGCCCCAAAGTCTTTCTGCATAGAACACTTTGGAGGGCTTGCACTTTAATAGACCACAGCTTGGCACACACTGTTCAATGCTCCTGTTATCA